CAGCCCCAGTCCCTGACTATGGTTAGAAAGAGTAGAGGATGATTGCACAAAAGTCAGAGGCATGTGGCATTGCTGGTTTTGGATGAAGAAACTGGGTCACAGGCCACGGAATGTGGTTATCTCTAGTCAAGTTTTCTTACACAACTGGGCTACATCCCCAGCCCTTATGCTTGTCTCTAAAAGCTAGAAGGGGCAAGAGTAGCCCCTAGAGGAGCTGGAGAGATAGATCAGAGGTTAAGAGCACTGACTGTTCTTCCAGAGGACCTGGGTTCAATCAATTCCAAGCACCTACATGGCAGCTAACTCCAAGATCTGACTCCCTCACACAGACACATATGCAGGCAAAACACCAATGCATAGCAAATAAAAGTAAATTATATATATAAAGAGTATACCTTAGAAAGGTCCAAAGGGTATACATATCCATGCTACACCTTTATTTGGACCTGTTGAGGCCTATTTTGGACTCCTGACTTAACTAAGTTTATGGTAGTCTGTTAGAATAGCATTATAACATTAAAATATCCAGTTTACAGTCTGAAAGTGTCCTTAATATCAAGGTGATTTCTGTTGCAATTTATATTTTATATGCAGTTACACAAACACCTTTCAAGTATTTGGTGGTGTTCATATGCCTTTGGCTGTCACGGGATTCAAAAATCAGGTATGGGATCATTTCTTCACTTGTGCAGTCATGTCCACACTCAAGTTTTAGATTTAGAAGCTTTTCAGTTTGTGGGTATTCAGCCTGTACAATCATACACATATGCATATTGGCACATACACAATAAGAGGGTGATTATAAACACAGCCATTTTCCTGATTAGATTCCATCTCCTTAGCCCCCTTTGGGGGCCTTGCTCCCGTCAATCATCTTTCTCTAAATAGCAGCTTCTCCACCCCAGGGATCTATGCCCTGAGGCTCTAGCTAGTGTGGGTCTATTTCACAAGGGAGGGGAGAACTAAATATGTTGCCTTTTATCCTCCTCCCTTCTCAGCCAGTATCTTCGAAAGGAGATCTATGTTCCTTCCCTGCTTCTCTTTATGTGTGACTTTACCTAGTCTCTGTGCTTCCTGTTTACTATTGAAACTGCCCTTGGCCCTGACCCATAACTGACAAATCCTATAGACTATAGACTATAGACTCTGCCTGGGGAAGCCCTCAGCCCACTCCTTAGCATTATCTCTGCCTTGGTCTCAGTGGTCCAGTCCTTTCCCTGAAAGGTTCTGCTTGTTATCAGCCCCCGTGTTTGCTGTCCCTTCCCTTGTCATTCCTCAGTGGAACATGAGCTCCTCTGGAGTCTTCTTGTTTTCTTAGGGACCCTGTCATAGCTTCCTGAAGACTTATGACATTATCAAAGTGAACCTGGGAGTAGTAGGTACTGGATTGGGCAGAGCCTTCAGGCAGGGAAACTAATAGGGGAAGTGGAAACAGAAGCATACAGAAGTATAATCACAACATGACCCTACTGCAGCTCCCCTATGTGCTCTCACTCCCCGAAGACCCCACTTACCCGCTGTCAACTGAAACACAATAGCACTTGTCTTGACTCTTTCTATGAGAGAGACTGCCTGCCATTACTATGGTATATTACCTTAAGTATTAACTGTTTATCTGTTATTGGGCTTTATTTGTAAATTAAACTTTATCCTAGTAGGTCTGTGTATGTGATGGTACCCTAAGAAAAAGGAGGCTGGGAGGTGGTGGCGCACACCTTTAATCCCAGCCCTCAGGAGGCAGAGGCAGATCTCTGTGAGTTTGAGGCCAGCCCAGTCTACAGAGTGAGTTCTAGGACAGGCTCCAAAGCTACAGAGAAACCCTGTCTCAGAAAAAGAGAGAGAGAGGGAGAGAGAGAGGAAGAAGAAGAAGGAAAAGTCAGAGATGATACCAAGATTTCAGGCCTTCAAGTAGAGAACAGCTAACAGCATTAGCAGAAATGGGGTAATCAGGAATAGAATATAAATGAAAGGAAACAGAAATACTACACCTATATGTGGACTGTGGTGGCTCCCTCTGACAATCTGGCACTCTGAGGTCAGAATGGGCTGCAGAGTGAGACTCTGTCTCAAACACTTAAAAGATAATATAAAAGAATGATGGGAGATGTCATTCTGTAAATATGTTTCTCCTATTGGTTAATGAATAAAGCACTGTTGGCAAATAGGAAGGCAAGATAGGTGGGACTAGGAGACAAGGAGGATTCTGGGAGATGTAATAGAGGAGATTCAAGATATAGAGACTTAAGAGAGAAGAGGTCTGGACCCTCTCTCCGGTAAGATAAGACCACATGGAAACACTTAGATTAATAGGAATGGGTTAATATTTAAGACAGAGATAGCCAATAAGAAATGCTAGTAATAGGCTAACAGCTTTATATCTAATACAGTGTCTCTGTGTGTTATTTGGGGCTGACTTGGCTCTAGGATCAGGCTGGCAGGAAAACTGCTTCTAACAAAACATTTTTTTAAAAGATGGGAAGCACACCAGTGAGATGACTCTGTGTGTTCAACTCCCAGAACTCACATGGTGGCAGGGTTAGTAAACCAAAAAGTGCTTTCATATGAGTACCATGTATGTGTGTACCGTGTCCATGTGTGTATATACATATTATACACACATGCACACACAAATAGATAAATGTAATGAATAAGTTTTATCTTGGTTTTTCGAGACAGGGTTTCTCTGTATAGCTTTGGAACTCGTGCTATAGACCCGGCTGGCCTTGAACTCACAGAGGTCTGGGATTAAAGGCGTGTACCACACCACCCAGCAAATAAATGGATTTTTAACAATTAAAAGCATATGATACATCAAAGCAGAGGAGCGCTATATCCTGTTAGAAAACTGGGCTCTGATGCTAAAAGGGAAATTAAAATTGAAACTATAGATTAGGAAATTGTTTCCAGAAATGGGAAATCATAATGTGCCAAGTTGATAGATTTACATGATATCTACCCATTAATCAAATCTATTTCTACTCTTCCTTTTCTCCAAGAAACAGCCCCCACTCCAAGTGCCCATCACCTCATGGCATTCAGCAGAGCTGTGGGATGCCTCAACTTGGTGATCACTTCCAGAAATTACCAAGACAACTTCCTTCCCACTTTTCTGAAGGCTTTGATCAGAGTTGCTTCACTTTTAGCTCTAACCTTCACTCTCAGCCATCATCTACTTCCTGATTTATTTACAGAGTCTGGGCCATGCTGTGTGACCTCTGTTTCCAATGCGAATCCCCCATTTTCTCCTTCCCAAGAGTTTTATGTGTGCTATCATAGTTGGCTTCAGTTGTTAGCCTGACGCATCTGGAATAGGGGAGCTCAGCTGAGGAACCCTCCTCCATTGGACTGACCTATGGGCATGTCTGTAGAGCATTTCCTTGGTTGCAAATTGATGTGAGAGGGTCCATCCCACTGTGCGTAGTACCAATCCTGGCAGGTGTGCCTGGGCTATATAAGTAAAGTGACTGAGCAATTCAAGGGAAGCAAACAAGCAAGTAGCTTTTGGCCATAGCATTTATCACAGCAATAGACAGCAAACCACAACACATGCCTTTGACATGCTGTGTGCACCCTAGGTCCTTGCTTATGCCTGGATGTCTTTTCCCCTAACAACTCTCCCCTTCTCGTTTTCCTTTGAGCTGTTAACATATCCAAGCCTCCCTTATCCTTACACACTTTTTGTCCCTCAATTTTGATTCCTTTAGAAGACTGTATCTTATCTCCCCTGCCCCCATAAAGGCTTTGGAGCCTGTCCTGGAACTCACTCTGTAAAGTGGCTGGCCTCAAATGTATCGAGATCCACCTGCCTCTGCCTCCCAAGTGCTGGGATTAAAGGCATGCCGCACACACACTGCCACCCTACAATACAACAATTTCTTAATTATAATTAAAAAAAAAATTTGGGATGAGATTCAGTGTAGAGGACATGCCTAACATACTGAGGTCCCTAAGTTTAACCCCCCCCCCAGAACTGCAAAAAGAAAACAAGGTACAAAAATTAAATGTAAAAATCACTTAGCACTTTCTAGTACTAACTTTAAGAACAATGAAGTCATAAGGACTCAAATGAAAGGTATTTTGAACATCTTGTATTATATTCTCATTTTGTAGAAAATAAGAGTAAAGTACATTGGGCTGTGGAATGTAGCTCAGATGACAGAGTGCCTGTCTAGCATACCCGAAGCCTTAGGTTTGATTCTCAGTACTGTATACACCATGCTTGTTGATACATTCCTATAATCTCAACACTCGAGAGGCAGAGCCAGAAGAATCTCTGTAAATTCAGAGCCAGCCAGGTCTACAGAGTGAGTTCCAGGGCAGGCAGGCAGGGATGATACACAGAGAAACCCTGCCTTGAAAATCCAAACAAACAACAATGAAAAAAAAAAAAAAAAAGAGTTCAAATCCAGCCTCAGCTATTGAGGACAGCTTTGAGGACAGCCTTGGCCCCAAGAGACCCTCTCAAAAAAAAAAAAAAAAAAAGAAAATAAATAAATAAATAAAAATAAGGGAAGAAAGATTGTTCAAAGTCCCACAACATATATGAAGAAAAGTTCAGAGTCCAGTTAGATCAGTGACAAATCTATTCACTCTCCGCTATTTCTGAAGGCTTTGGCATGGCACACACAACTGAAGGAACCTGGGGTCTGCCAAGAATCAGGAGACTCTTGCTCTCTGGGTGCTTTCTTCCCCAGGAGAGCTCCGGCCAGAAGAACCATCCTCATTGACGCCAAGGAAAATTGGTCACAACCACAAAGAGCTGCCGTTTGGCGTTCTAATGACTTGATGGCAGCAGGGTGTGCCTAGCCAGAAAGAACATGACTAGAAAAGGTATAAGTTCTGCAGAGGCCACCGGTGAGATTTGTGGGGGTTGAGGTATGCCTCTGCCTTAGATCACTTGCTTAACATGCCCCAATCCCTAACATTGAAAAAAAGAAGGGAAGGAAGGAAGGAAGGAAGGAAGGAAGGAAGGAAGGAAGGAAGGAAAGACTATAGTGGGGGTGCCGGCTCGGGCAGCACATGTACTAAAACTGAAGCAATACAGACAAGATTAGCACGGTCCTTGTGCTAGGGAAACACAAATTCATGAAGCATTCTATATATAGGTATGGAATATATATATATATATAATTTTTAAAGAGTACAGTGAGAACAGGGAGGCGGGGACTGCCAACCATTAGGTGATCATATCTGGGAAATTCAAAAATAGAGTTTCATTTCCTCCTCTATGCTTTGGGTAAGTTTTGTTTTATCAAATAAGAGTAGTCTCCTGTATTTGTCAGCTCTCTCTGTAGTAGTTAAGGATGATACCGTGTTGGAGAAACCACAGGCTACTGCAAAAGTTCACCAACTTGGATTAGGTTTAGGTTTCCATTAGCGTAGGAGAATAAAGTCCTATGGAATGGAAACAGATTTCAGATTCGTGTTTTGGTATTTTTTTTTTTTTTTTGACAATGTCTGGACTAGAATCGGCTGTGTAAACCAGGCTGATTTCAAAATTGTAGCTATCCTCCTGACTCAGTCTCTTACACCTAGATTTCTTGTTTATACATTAATTCTAATAAAACTTGATTATAAAATGATTAAAATAAAACGAGTGGCATATTACCTGAGGAGCACAGTATAATTGGAAAGGGCTTATTTTAAAAATAAGCAGAAGAGCAAAACATAAAATTCATCACACTAGCAGATCAAAAGAGTAAAAATCCGAGCCAGGCAGATTGGCTCAGGCATTTAATCCCAGCACTCTGGAGGCTGTGGCAGGCAAATCTCTGAGTTCGAAGGAACTCAGGAACAAGACCACAAAACAAACACCAGGACAGCCAGGGATATACAGGGAAACCTCCCTCGGGAAAGAAAAAAAAAAAAGTAAAAATCCAAGCCAGTCCATAGTAGTCTGTGCCTGAAAATTCCAGTGTTTGGGGAGTGAGACAAGGCTAGCCCGGCTACATTGAGGCCCTGGTTCAGAAAAGGGGGAGGGGGAGTAAAACTCCAGGATCATTTCGGGTTTGTAAGAAAATAGACAATAAAGACATACTAAAGCACAAACATAAACAAGAATATATAAAACATAAAACTTCAACTACATTTTCCTCATATCTGGTCTCCACTATTATTGCTATTATCTGCAACAACTCAAGATACAGCTGATAAGAAACTCAAAGAAGTATAGACACTAGAGACAGACCAAGAGGTTGGGTAAGGTACAGTAACATCACACTTGTAATCCACCCACTTGGATGTTGAAGCAGGTCCAAATTATAGGCTAGCCTGAGCAACATGCCCAAAGCCCAAACGCTGCCTCTGCTGCTCATGCGCACAGAAAAGGCGAGTTTTCCTGTGTGTGCATAAAAACGTCTGTGTGAGTTACGAAGGAGGACAGAGGGCAACCTTGGGTGTCGCTGGTCTTCACCTTCCAACTTTTCTGAGAGGTCTCTTTTTCGCAGCTGCATAAGCCAGGCTAGCTGGCCTTCAAGCGTCTGGTCTCCACCTCTCATCTCACCTTGTGAACCGTGGGATTGCGGTGGAGTGCTACCAAGTCTGCCTTTCTGAGGACCCTGGAGGCTGACAGCCTCACATTTGCATGGCAACCGCATTACCCACTGAGCTGCCTTCCCAGCTCCAGGAGGAGGGGTGTTTCATTAGGTATGCCAGGGCCTAATCATCCGACTGGAACACCAACAGTCGACTAAGAAATGGATTGCTGTTATTAATGGAGGTTCAAAGAGGCTCCTTTACAAGACAGTTTTCCTGTATAGGAGCTCAGTCACCGTTTGGAAAGCCAAGAGAGAAGATCGATGCCTTCGAAATCAGACCAGACTGAATCAATCATTTGCGCAGCTCTTTCTTCTGCCACGTACACCTGCCCTGAACTCTGTCAGCTTCGTGCTGTCTGGACGCTTCCCTCTCATCTCATCCTGTTCTGTGAGGACTGCCACCTAGTCTCGGCCCGCGATGACGCACCACTGCGCAGCGTTTCCCCGCCAGACAGCTGCCCTGCCTGCTGGTTTTCCTCTTGGGTACACAGACCGCATTTCCTCACTCCGCTGGCAGATACTTGTGGGCGAGTTCAGCTCTGTGGACTGTGCCTCTGCGAGAGAAAATTCTCCACTCCCTTCTCCTTTCCCCACCAAATAACTAAAAAGGTCCTCGCCCCACCCCCACCTCACCCACCCACCCCCACTCCCCAAGCCTAGAGGACGTTGGCACAAGAAGATTAAGAGAAAACTGAGGAGCCCAGGTCCCTCCAGGTGTCATAGCTGACACAGAACAGGAAGCAAGTTCTTTGAGGAAAGGGATTTTCGGGTTTGCTTTTTTTTTTTTTTTTTTCTTTCCTTGTAGTGACGCGCGCTTCTTTTCCTTTATTTTGTTGTTTATTTACTGAGACAGGGTTCTCCCTGTGTAGTACTGACTGACAACTGTCCTGGGACTCACAGAGATCCACCCCGCCACCTGCCTCCTGAGTGCCTGGTGTGTGCCATGTCAGGCACTTTTTAATCCGTAACACAGAGTTCCAGGGCAGGCTGGAAAACTATTCATATGAAACCTACAAAGACCTAAGAAACAAACTCCACCATGTGTATGGCGCACGTATTAAAATAAAATAGTAAATAAAGATGGCACCCAACACTAGCAATAATGTCATGCGCTGACGAAACTGTAAAGTGGGTCTTTTCGTTTGTCCATTGTGTGTATTGTTATTCGTTTGTCTTGTGCCAGGCTCTCTAGCTCAGGCTGGCTTCAGATGACTGGTGTAGAGGAGGATGGCCTTGAACTCCCGATCCTCCTGTCTGTCTCTACCTTTAGACCTGTGTCACCACGCCCAGTTTATAGATGCTGGAGATCTAACACATGCTAGGCAAAGCATTCTACCCAATTGAGCTGCATCCGCAGGGTAGTTTGTTATAAAATTAAAAATGTGCTCTACCAATTTTACTATCGGGCGCTTATAAAAGAGAGATGGGGAAAAAAATCTAATTCTGTGCAAAAACACACATGTAACTATTAATAGCTTTGTTCTTGATTACCCCCCCTCCTAGTTGGCTTCAACACGACACCGCTGAGAGTTACCTGAGGGACCCTTGATTGGGCGAATTGTGGGCGTGTTGGTGAGGCTTTTTCTTGATTGCTAATTGATGTAGATGGGCTCAGCTCACTGTGGCCAGTGCCATACCTAGGCAGGTGGGCCTGGGACGTGGGCCTGGGATGTATAAAAAAACTGGCTGAAGCCGGGCGGTGGTGGCTTGAGCCTTTAATCCCAGTGCTCGGGAGGATGAGGCAGACAGATCTCTGTGAGTTCCAGGACAGCCTGGTCTACAAAGTGAGTTCCAGGACAGCCGGAGCTGTTACACAGAGAAACCCTGTCTTGAAAAATCAACAACAAATAAAAACAAATTAAAAAAAAGGAAGAAAGAAAAAGAAAAACAAGAAAGCTAGCTGAGCAAGAGAAATAAAGGAAGGGAGAAAGGCCCTAATGTCTCTCAGTGATGGATTATAACATGGAAGTACAGGACAAATAAGCCCTTTCCTCCCCAGCAGAAAAGAAAACTAGAACAAATGCCCAAAATAGAAATGATTCATGTGTTCAGTGGTTAAACACACTGTGGTGCATGTAATATCATGAAATAATATTTAGCAATAAAAAGGAACAAACATCCATACAGCAACTTGCATGAACCTCAAGCGTTCTTAATTTATGTTTATATACTGTGTGATCCTGTTCATATAACAATCTTAAAATATCAAAACTAAGGAGATGAAGAGTAAGTTTGTGGTTTCCAGGAGTTGCTGGGAGGCAGAGACAAGTGAAAACCTGTGGTGCCTGGATGCACATCTGTGATAGAGCTGTGCAATTTTTTAAATTTTTATTTCACATGCATTGGTGTTTTGCCTGCATGTATGTATGTGTGAGGATGCTAGATCCCCTGAACCTGGAGTTAAGTTGTGAGCTGCCATGTAGGGGCTGGGAACGGAACCTAGGTCCTCTGGAAAAGGAACCAGTACCCTTAACCCCACTAAGCAGAATTTTATGCACACGACACACTTAATGCTTTTAAAAGCTGCATAAATTGTATGGAGTATATTTATGTCTACTTCGTGGGTTTTACATTGTATCATAATTACACAGGTTGTTATCATTGGGTACCTGGGTGAAGGGTACATAGATCTGCTCTGTGCAATTGACATCTATACTCATTTCAAAATAAAAAATAACAATAGGGACAGGGGGCATGGCTTAGTTTTAAAGTTCTTGCCTAGAATGTGTGAGGCTCTGTTTTGATCCTATGTTATAGAAGCTAAAACAATGAATTTGACTGACATGTGGGAGTGGATCGTGGAAACCTGAGTTCATGCCCATTGAGAGCTAAAGGCAGGAGGATCAGGAGTTCAGGATCATCCTTGGCTACACATAGTTTGAGGACTACATGAGTCTCAAAAAAGCAAGCAAAGCCAGTTTAGAATCTTGACCACAATGGGTCTTCATTGGACCCCCTTGATGTTTTTTCCAATGAATAGTAGAGAAAAGCAAACAAGTAAATTATGGAAAGACATTAGATTTATTGTCTTATCTGGGATGAAAACTTTGAATTATATTTGTAATTTTTATTACATGTACGTGTGTTTATGCCACAACTTGCATGTGGAGGTCAGAGGACAACTTACAAGAGTTGGTTTTCTCCTTCCTACATGTGGGTCCTGAGGTTTGAACTCAGTTGTCAGGTTTCCAGCAAGTGCCTTTGCCTTCTGAGCCATCCCTCTGCTCCCCCTGCCTCCCCACTGCCACCCCCTTTTAGGGTCCCTGTTGTAGAATATTAAGATGTGTTTATGCTGTGGAACATTTGTTTAATGATACAAAGATGTGTTGCATTCTTTTATGTTGCATTTGTTTAACTCTGTGCATTTGTTAAAGCTGTGTTACTTTTCCTGCCTAACGCCCTGATTGGTCTAAATACCATGGCAAGAGGAAGGATAGTCAGGGCTGGCAGGCAAAGAGAATAAATAGGAGAAATACAGGAAGAGATCAAGGAGCAAGAAAGGAAGGGGCCAGCCACCCAGCCAGCCACAGAATAGGAATGAAAGTAGGACTACAGAAATAGGAAAAGGA